AAAAGATCACATAGGTCTTTCTTTCATTGGTATCAGAGCTATTGATATTTGATATCATTAGTTATCTTTTCTTTTAATTGAGTTTAGATCAAGCTTGCGAATGAGATAAAAGAAAGCTAATACTTATGTGGTCAAGAAATACATCCATAGTTAATAATTATTGAAATATTCCAACACTAAAAAGGCACTCTGCATAATGAGTATTCTAGGCTATTTTGGAGTAAAAATATGAAGAATAAAATGAGGTATTTTTCTATTACATATTTCAGTGATATTTTATGCATTTAAGAGTAGGATTACTTGCAAACTTTCAGTGGGAGATCCTATAGGAATTGAGAGTTATGGACTCAACAATGAAAGGTGTCAGTTTTGACCATGCAAAATTCAGGAAATATGTATTGAGTTCTGTGAGTTTTCTCACCAATCATATGATTTTATTTCTAGCTGAAATTGGACTGCGACTCATAAAATTGAGTTTACTTTCAAACAAAAAAAGTTTCATCAAGAAAGTCTTTGTGGTTTGAAAGATATGATCAATTTATTAAAGGATGCGCAAGTGATGTTTTCTGCAACGAAATTTCATGACTTGAAAGTTGAGATTTAATTTCTATTCTTAATAGAATATTTTATGGTTGACACTAAGTTTTTAGACTTCCATTATGAGTCTAGTTTGTAATAAAATTTATTTTAGAGAGAAATATTTATGCGAAGAGAGGAATATAAATTTTAGTTTGAAAATAGGTCATCTTAAATTTTATGTAATTTAGTATGTCCTTCATTGAAGTCATGAATAACTATATTTATCAAGCCTACTTAACAAAATGATATAAGGCTTGTGAATATATATGTATTACTATTATGTGTCTAATTTCAAACAAAATTTGTTTGAAAGGGAAACTCCATGATGGTAGAGAGAAAAGACAATTTTACTAGATAGTGTTCATTCTGGAATCCTGCAGTATGATTTATTTTGTGACGTGAATATCACTTATTTATTTCTCTGAAGAAAAGTACTATTTGGGATTCAAGCTATGATGTTATGATTTGTTTTTTAGTTTAGTTTTCAACACAAAATATTTCAAGATGATAGATATCATATTTTTATCATGGGATGCTCAAGTTCGATTATGCAGTAAATTAAAAAGATATAGCATGTTAAGACACATCTTTGGATTCCTAAATATGAAAACTTTTTTTTTTTTGGGCTCATTTAAAAAAGTTTTATAGTGTGCTATGAGTACAACCCTTGTGTGTGATGGTGGCTTATAGAGACGGGGGCCAAAGCCTCATTCATGTGCCATCACACGGCATGCATATCGATAGATCGTTCGGGAAAGCCAGAAATCCACCTTTTAAGGTGAAGCATATGCATGTGCGAGAGATACCCTTATGCACCATAGGAGCTATGGTCGCATCAGGTCTGGGTGACATTGACTCATCTCTAGGGGAAGACCTGAAATCCACAGACTGGAATTGCGATCACTTGACTCATCGATCGGACTTTGGTGATCTGCTAATGAGCCACTGCTTGGACTGCGTGTCATGGGAAACACTGGGTCGGTCTGATAAAGCAAGTGTGGTCTGTAGTCTACAGTTGAAAGTAGAATACCCCATGATTGTTGATTCCTAAACCATATGGATCTTTTTCCCATCAAATTAATTTAATTGTATTTGTTTTATGATGAAAATTATTTTAAGATTATTATTTGAATTTTTATGAACCCCTAGATATTTTATTTATAATTTTTAAATTTATAAAATTAAAGATATTGATTTTACAATTGTTTAAATATTCAAATATTATTCTAAAATCTTTTTATTAATTTTAAATATATAAAAATATCATGGGGGCTCATTGTGAACATGGGCCCGGTATATTTTTAAAAGATGGGGCCCATGAGTGCCTCCCTTGGGTGGCACGCCCCACCTTTATTCTCTTTTCTAGTTTTTGGTGATATGACATGTGACCATATGGTTGGAAGATATTGACTAAATATTGACTTGATATATCTTTCAAAGATTTTGTGGAAATATTGGGTAGACTTGTGCTATTTTATGGTATGCACAATATTTTAATTTATTTAATTTCTATTGATAGAAAAATGGTTTAGAAAAGGGGATAATGATCCATGCACCTTCCATAATGTTGATGGCCCATCTATAGAATGGATGACTCAGATCTCTCACCCACAAGTCACTTTGATCGAAGGTCTATATTCAATCTCACAAGAAGAGGCAAGCCAAAGAAAACCCTAAGAAATCCTAATCTTATTCAATCCCTATAAAAAGGGATTGTTTCTACCAAAAACAATCTATATACCTTATCTTTCTATCTCTCTCTCTTAAGAAAGTTTATCTCTCTCATGTTTTATCTCTCTCTTCCACATTGTGAAAGAACCTAAGGGTTTAGGTTATGGAGTTCTTCTCTCATATCTCTCAAATATGGATTTATGACTAAGGATTTTGGGGTTTAGCAAACAAAGAATCCATCTCTCTGAAAATAGGTTATTAAAAGAATTCACCTAGGGTTTGAGTTTGTGATCTAAGGGGTTCATGTTCTATTAGTGTGGCTTGGCTAAAGTTTGCTTTCCCGGTTTGAGATTGAAGCTAGACCGTTGATCCCACGCTATCGGATGGTGGTGACTCGGTGTGGGCTATAATAAGCCCAATTTAGGTATTCTCCGGCACTTTTCCTTTTGTTTGTTGTAATCTTATGTTTTATTCTCAAGCATAGTGCATAGTTGTATCAATGACATCAAGTTGTTAAGATCTTAATTTTATTGTTATGTTGATTTATTTTGAAATTTATCTTATTATAATAAAGCCCACTTGTAAGTGATCTTTTTGCCAAAAGAAAGGGGTGAAGAAAACAAAATAAAAATAAAAATCTATTTCCCAATAAAAGTTCACATAAGTATTTCTTTTATGCACAAAGCATGCACCTACACATGCACCCACTTCCACACAGGAGCATGTATTTTCGGCCGGACACTGACCGGACCCATTTCCGCCCCTACTGTGACGCTAATATTTACGTGAGTGCCATCTTTGCCAAAGTAAAGCAACATCAGTTAACCATATGTTTTTACATTTGCTCTCTATCAATGGCCATCGACCCAATTCCTCAAGTTTGATGTTTTCGGGATTATTATTAGGATGTTTTCGGATTACTATTAGGGTGGCCACTATTTGGGTGCATTGGATGGAGAAGCTCAATCTCTCAAAGCAAAATGTATTGATATGATCGTAAACTCGTTTGAATCACAAAAAGAATTTTGGGGAATCAGCTAAATTGACCCACCAAGCCCAACTTAAAGAGAGAGAATACTCTATGTACAGACCAATGACTAAATAGTTGGAAACCTTCTGTTTTTTTTTGGATAGATGAGTAAGGAATATAGGACCCTACCCATTTTCAAAAATAGTAAGTGGTTTTCGAATGCATCCATGGGAATGAAAAACTATTTATCCTTGGCTTCTTCCCCACTAGTCCTAGGCCACTCGAACCATTGGAGAGTGAAGTTGTCTCTTTTTTGGGAAGAAAGATATATATGGTTAATAAAAATAGCAAAAAAGGACTAGGGGAAAAAAAAGGCCCCACCAAAAGTGTGCTCAGCACACACAACACTTAAGTAGTTATCCTAAGTTATTTAAAATACATTTACAATTTGAAACTCCAACAAATAATAAATGAAGAAAGAACATGGTAGGAATAAACAAGAAGAAACAAAGAAATAAAAGTAAAAATTGAATAAAAATGCCCAAGGAGAAAACAAATGAGTCAGATTTGAATGTTGATACGTAATATATCAATATAGTGGAAATATCTTGCAAACCAGAGTCGAATGTAGGCTCATAATGAGATATCTAACTCCATTCTCATCAAAATATAGAATATAGGCTTACATTTGAGATGAGAATAGATAGATCTAGGGTTTTTTAGATGAATGTGAGTTGATTATGTGGTTGCATGTAAACTTATAGGGCTAGCTCTCGTGTTTATATGGTTAGTGATAGGGTTCATACGCCTAGATCTAGGTTTTGTGGAATTCTTAAGTAAAGATTTAGAGTTTTTTACATACAGAAATCTTTTATGTCCTTTTATTAGCATTTGATGTTATATTTTTTAAAAATTACGAGGAGCACCCCTCCTCCACCCCAGCAGCGCTTTTTCTTTTATTTTCCTTTAGTATAATTGTACTCCCTCGGCAAAAAGACCTACACACTTGAAAAAAGAGCAAGAGGATTAAGTGATCCTCATGACTATATAAGATCCGTCCTTCTGAAGTCTCCTCCATTCAATCAATTGCTGGATGTGAAGGAGAGGACTCGTATAAACATGCCATGGATCCAATGATGGCTAGCTAATTCTAATGAATTTAGGCCCGTGGCACTAAAGGTGGTAGCTAATTCAAATAGATTTAGGCCCAGTTTCGAAGGACTATTTCTTAACAATCAAAGTCAATTTAATTCCTGCTCGTTTAGAAGTCTAGTACCAAACAGTTTCGTCTACTCCACTAGTCAAGGTGACAGGCCCTTCAATCGCCCACTTATTGGAAAATGATTGCCAAAATAATCCACTTATGTTCAAATAAATCCATTCTTTAATGGAGCTGCTGGGACCGCCTTTACGGTCCTTAAAATATGTGGCTATAGGCAAAGGGCCATGCAGCCTGGCTTTGCCATAAAAAAAACTAGGTCTTAGGCCACAAAGGTTGTCAGGCTAGACGACCATGACCCATGTTCAAAGGTCGGCCTAGGCCTGGGCCTTTTCAGCCCAGTTCCGATGGGGCTCAAGCCGACCATGTAATGCTAGGGCCGGGCTAGGGTCAAGGCTGGGCTGGGATGTTACCAGCCCTAAATAGCTACTATGGAAATGTAAAATGTAACTACTGAATGATTATTTACATACCATAAAAGGAATTATTTAGAGAATAATATAGAAAGGATTGTTTTCGATTAGAAGATTCAACCGCTGTAAGCCAAAATGCCCTCACAATTTTAAGACATATCCCAAAACATCAATCCGAGTTAGCAAATGTTGGATTTTTTAATCCGAGCAGTCCATTTGAAATTGGCATGATGAGATCTGAACCACTCATCTCAACTAATTTTCCATGTAACCATCTTAGTCCCACCTTCTCTCTGTCTCACTTAGATGTCAAGCAACGCGTAGTAGGCCAATGTTATTGGCAAGGAAACCAGCATTCCGAAAACGACCCTACATTAAAACAAGATGTCATCAAAATCCTTCAAAAAATTGTGTAAAAACTCCAACTTTTAAAATATATAATAGGGAAACCTTTCTGTACTTCCTCGCTATATACATTTTATACACTTCCCCCATCTCCTGGTTGTCTGATCTAAATGAACAGGTGAGATGACCCCATTCATAATGTTAAACCTATATATTGTTTTATTTTTAATTTTCTTCTGCAAAACATTTTGACCCCAAATTTGGGGCTTCCACTCCCCTCTTAAACTCGCACCTTCAAAAAGTAAGAAAAGAAATTTCCAAGAATTGATCAAAGTGCCCTTAAAAATTTCACTTTCAGGGGTATTTTTTGCTTTTTTTTTTTTTAAGAATAATGTTTTTTAAATATTTTTTGATCAAAATATCCTTAAATTTTTCAGGGGTATTTTAGCTATTTTTTTAACAATAATGTTTTTAAAATTTTTTTCTTAAGGTGAGTCCCATTGAGATGATGACACACCTAAGTTCATATTCATATGATTGTAAAAAAAAAAATTAAAAATAAAATACTTCTAGATGTCACCTAGATCACATAGTGGCACACTTGTGATATTTTGAGACAAGTAACCTCAGCCGTCCGTCTAAATTAGACACCTGGATACGAGAGGAGGTATAAAAGATATACATGATGGGAAAGTATGGAAAATTTCCCCATGAACAAGAGGGTTAGTGGTGCTCACATGCTACTTATAATATCTGGGTGCACATTGTACTCTTTAGCGTAAATAAATGGAGTGATTGCTTGGGAAAGAGCAGCCTGCAGTCATTGATTCAGCATTGATAAAGATGATGGATAACCTATTAATTAGATAAACAAGCAATATAATTTCTTATACTAAAATTATCTCATGTTAAACATGGATAATTATAAGAAATATGTTTTATCACATTAGAGTTCGTATTTCTACAAACAAAACTTTTTTTATTGAAAATATGTATAATGAGACCATTTATTTTTTGTACAAGGTGTTCGCAACTGCTATTGATGGTTAGATGTGAAATCGGGTAGTTGGGAATATATCATTAACCAAGCACAATATCCAAAACAAAATTTATTGAATTTTGTGACACACTTCAATCAATTAAATATGACATCTAATGGCTAAGAATGATTGAGACCTCCTTGTACAAAAATAAATGATCTCATACTATATATGTGCCTTTTCTTATTTGGTACTTGTGTAATTTGCAAAGTAACATGTTGACTTCAACACACTTCGGCCCTTGCTTAAATGAAGTGATCGAGATCAGCTCAACAAGGTAAGGAATCATAGTATTTTGGAAAACTAAAATATCAGTAATAACTTAGTTTTGTTCTGAAATATTGGAGATAAATAATCTAACCAAAAATACGGATTCCCAAAAATAAGGTTAAGTTAAAAAGAATCATAAATATTTTCCTCAATGATTTACCACAAAAAAAAATCATAAATATTTCAATTTTGGCACAAAAAACAGAGTTAAAAAATCGGATATGTAAAGATGATATAGTGTAGGATTATCATTTATCATTATTATATAAATACATTAAAGTCGTTGAACAATAATTTCATGTCCTTAACTACTATCATTAGGGAATACAGGACAATTTTTGTCTAAACTTTCAACAAATACAAGAGCACTACTTACTCGACATGTCACATATTTATTGAGAGTAACAATTAAAAACTGACCACAATACTAAACACAAGAACTACATTAGCAAATAACAAGACAAGAACTGTAACCCAAGGTATAGGATTATTATTCGAAAAAATAAAATTGAAAGAGACCCTCCGTATAAGAATGCAGTTAACTACAACATAAAAAACCCAGCATGTAAAATAGCGGTCCATCCAAAAAGCAATGCTATATATACTATATACCAACGAAATAAAAAATAATGAAAGGCAAAATTAATCAAAGTTATGTATGTTGAAAAAAAACAACAAAATGCTTAAGCAAATCTAAGAATTTGAATCTCACTCTGAATTCCTAGCTTCTTAAATCTTTAGTTGTCACTAAATCTCCCTCTTGCTCTTTATAATGGCTCTCTAGGGTTTAGAGAAAACAAAATATTTTTCATGGGGTTATTATTATTCTAACTCTACTTATTATTTTGAGATATAAGATTGTTTTGATAGTTTACTTGGGGAATATTGGTTGTATTTTTTAGAACACTTTTCTTAAGGGAATATATTCGTGAAAATATTTGATGGATTGTTTTGTTAAATCAAGATTCTTAATTTGCTCTCAATTTTAATTTACTTATCTCTAAACAAAAATTCAATGTTATTAAATCATGAAGAATATAGTTATAAGGAAGAAAGTGTTTTTGAAAAGTTTATAACGTTTCTATTAAAAAACATATGATTTACTTGAAGATCTTTCGAAATATTGGGAGTTCATAACATTTTTTTTAAAAAAAAAGAGGTGATTTTTTTGAAATAATCATGTTTCAATCTTTTAATCGAATGCTATATTGTTTGCTGCTTTAGTAGTTAGCAAATTGCAACTATTGTTCAGTCAAGCATATCAACCTTACGTGCTCGGTTAACCCTGTTGCAAGAATAAGAACTCTAAATCAAATGGCCAAAGGAGGTTCAACACTTCAGTTTAAGTTCTCATAATTTAGCCAATACATTACTTAATGGGCATACCTGTACAATTGCTATATGTAACAACTTGCCCCGAAGACCAAGTGCTAAAGAGCAGGCAGCCATGACCCCTGGGCCGAGGAGAAATCTCACAACCATGGCTACGGTAGCCCTACGAATTCCGCATGCTATTATTTTATTTTGGGATGCCATGAAAAGACCTGCAAGCACAAACACAACGTCAAGATTGTCTCGTACCTATGTATCATATTTGGAACCGGGAATCGAGTATTATACCTGAGTGCTCGCCAACAAATTTTTGATGAACGAATTTGGAGATGGATGATAGACTCGCGTAGGCAAGTTCGACAACTACTAGAGCTGTCAAAATTAGTTCCACACTGCAATCCCGAGTGAGGTGGAGGCTCATGAATACTCTAATAAATGCGATATGAGGAGAAGTCCGAGCTCAATGCACAATTCTATCTCTTAGAGAGAGGGATTGTACTCTCTCTCTCTCTCTCTCTCATTTTCTCTCTTTCTCAAGAGGAGCTCTCACACTTTTCTTGTGTGTTGTTGTATGTAGAGACCTTCACCCTCATTTTTTTATAGTGAGAGAAAGGCCCTCTCTTTTATGTGGGAGTAACGTTCTCATGAATGGGCACCCAAATGGTGCATAGTGCGTGCCATTCATAGGAGGGTAACCCCCTCATAAAGAGGTCAAACCCCTCCGTACCTCCCTCTTATGAAATAACATAAGTCAAATCATGAAGGGCGTATGGTCCACTTGGGTGTACCCTAACACTAAGGATGCAACCTCATATCTACATCTCACACTCCTCCCATATGTGGGAGGGGTTGCATGCCCAAATAAGAGTTGTTGTTAATTACTGCATTGAGAGTATTCTTTCATACAAAAGGAAAATGCAGTGTGCCATCTATTCGAGCCAATATTCTGTTAAATACAACTATACGAAATTTCCAACCTACTGGCATGGAACACCTCATCTCTCCAATACCTACAAAACAAAAACTGCCCTACCTACTGTAAACCCAATTTGACCACATTGAGCTATGTTCTCAACTAATCCCTCAAGAGCACAGTTCAGAAGATTACTTAGACCATTCCTACAAAATTATTTTAAATACGCGCTCAATGTGTATTATTTTCTTGTGGTGCCAAAACAGAGTGTGATATCAAATGGTATTCCCTTACAACTTACATTATTCTATTCAGACCCGACCATTGTCTCAGCAATGTCCCAAACAAGCGCACAGTGGCAAAAATGAACGTGGATCATCTTTTTCCATACGAGTAGGTGTTTTGGTCATTAAAATAACATGTGTGGTATGAATCACACGTCATGGTGGATCACATCATATGCGCGTCGAAAATCCACACCATACAGGTTATAGTTTTTTCACAACCATACAACCGATCGCCACCTAATGACCCATTATCACATCCATGCATCAACTTAAACATCCTTCATGTTCATCCCTGGCTACTTACAACCTACATGATCTTAGGGATGTCAATTTGAAAGGTTCATACCAATTCCCTTATGGAATCTCATATCAAATCCTTGGTCTAGGTGATAAACATACTGTGTGTATATCTCATCCTCCAATCTCCCAAATATTGAGGGTAGCTCGTGTGAATAGGGAGCTCTAGTCTGCCAATGAATTAAATGATAATATTCGTTGTGTGTGTATTAAAGTGCACAAATAATCCATTATAACATAAAATAACATCTATATTCCATTATAACATGGTATCAATATCCTATAGTGTGATGCATACTCATAGGGTCTAGAGGCCGATAGTTCTTACAAGAGTCTGATATGTAGCCTTGACAATTGCCTTAGTTAAGGGATCCAACACCATTTCAATTGTAGGAATATGAGTTAACACCATCTGTCTATGCGCAACAATATCTCAAATATATTAATATCTAACATCAATGTCCTTTGACTTTCCATGGTACTTAGGACTTTTACAAAAGCAAGTGCCATTGTATTATCACAAAATATAGTGATAAGCTTATTAGCAGTTGCAACAACACCCACGTTATTTAGGAATCTTCTCAACTATACGGCTTTTTGTATTGTTCCACTACAAGCAATGTATTTAGACTCCATCGTGGAGAGAGTGGCACACGACTACTTCTTGCTAGACCAAGAGACTGCATCGCATCCTCGTAAGAAGACATAACCTGAAATCAATTTACGCTCATCTAGGTTTGCTGCTCAATCAACAACATTATATCCTCGTAACCGTAAATCGGTTCCTTGGAAACATAGTATATGACTCGAAGTTCCTCGAAGGTATCGAAAAATCCTCTTCATTGCTTGTCAATGACATTGTCCTAGATTACTCTTATATCGACTAACGACACCAATTGCATAGGTAATATCTGAAGGCATGTAGAGCATCACGTACATCAAACTATCAACCGCACTTGTATATGGAATATGAGACATTTTATTCCTCTCAGCTTTTGACTGCGGACGCATGTCGAGACCAATAATATGTCTTTTCTCAGCTGGAGTATGTATGGGTTTCAAGTATTGTATATCGAATGGCTCAAGAATCCGTTGGATTTATGTTTCTTGTGACATAACAAGAAATCTTTGAGAGCAATCATGATGTATCTTAACACCGAGTATGTAACTCGCTTCACCCATTTCCTTTATCTTAAATTTGGAGGATAACCATTCCTTTGTGGATAAAAGTTACTCCAGGTTAATCCCAGCTAATAAAATCTCGTCAACATACAAAGACAATATCTGGATATTTTTCTTATACTTCTTAATGTATACACAGTGGTGCTTTAAGAATTTCAAAACCATAAGTCATTCTATCCCTATAGAATTTGATATACCATTGTCTTGATGATTGCTTGAGACCATATATGGACTTCTTGAGCTTGCACACTTTGTGGTCAAGGCCAGATGCTACAAAACTTTTAAGTTGCTCCATTCTTCCATCAAGTGACAATTCAAAAAAGCAGTGTTTACATCTATTTAGAAAAGTTCCCGGTCCATAATGCAAGGATTGCTAGAATTAAGCGAATCGATATCATTCTCACCACCAGAGAGAATGTCTCAGTGTAGCCCACTCCTTCAATTTGGGTGAGCCCTTTCGTCACTTAGAGAGCTTTTGTAACAATCCTAAAACTTTTGGGAAGAAAAAATAAAATAAAATAAATAAATAAATAAATATATATATATTAATGGTGTTAATAGAAATAAATACAAAATAAATAAAATAAAATAAATAAATAAAATACTTACAAGAAATAAATAATTTTGTGTGATAGTTCATTATGTCGAAAATAATTAGTATTCTCTCATAATGATTAATATTATGCCCAATATTCATTGGGCGGTAACTTCACATTTTTTCTTGAGGATGCCAAATAATAGGAGCATTAGCTTTTTATAAAACTGGTTCAATAATAACAAAATTTTTGGATGGTGCAATTGTATTTGGGTGGACCTTAGGTCCACTATCAATTGCTTCAAGGTTTTACATGGAAAGTTGGTTAAATTCTTGGGGTGTGAAACTTCTTAACTGAGGTGTCACGAATGCCTTTTTCTTCTCTCTCTCCTTCCATACACCGCCTCTCTCTTTATCACTCTCTATATCTCCTTCTCCTATCTACGCATGCAGTTAGCCCACAAGTTGAGCATAGAGGAGAGTCTAAATAAGAATAAGAGAGAGAGAGAGAGAATGGGAGGAACGACCCCATAATGAGCTTAGTAGGATTACCCTGTATTGTCCCATGGAGCACACTACCTTTGAAGATCCATAGTCATCAAAAGTAAGTGACCTCATTGTCTTAAAAAACAATCATTTTAATAAAATTGTGATATATTTGTCTACTGTTACGAGTTTAGATACTGTAAATTATTGTATTTCCTCTTTTAACAAAATTGTAACATGTCCGATTATTGTTATAAATTTTAAATATTGTGCGTTTTATGTGTAAGTAACATCATCTTCCTGAAAAAGAGTCTTTTTTAATAGATAGTGATATTTCTGTCCAGGATCTGTATTTTATAAGTTTTATGTACAAATGACTGCCTTATTATTTGAAAACTGATATTTTTGCATTTGATTATAGCATTGTCTGTGAAATGTTTATTTGCAAATTGACATCCCATAAAATGTGATAATTCTGTATTCTTGGATTTCTATAAGAGTTTTTCTATACATACTAGATTGGCAATTATGCTAGAATATCTTTACGAATTGCTACCTTTCTGAATTTGAGCCCAAAATATTTGACTGGTTATTTTTGAAATGTTATTGAAAGTGATTGTTATTAATGGTTTCAGTGAAATTCAAATTAATAATTTCAGTGATATGTTGAGTACAGGATATTGTTGCTTTCGAATGTTTAAAGAGATTTAGAAATACTTTAAGTATGCAAGTGGACTCATCCGGTTCGTCGGTGAAATATAAGTGGACCTATCCGGTACACCGGTAGGGATTAAGTGGACTCATCCGGTACGTCGGTGAGGTATAAGTGGACCTGCAGGGATTAAGTGGACCTATCTGGGACGCTGATAGGGATTAAGTAGACCCATCAGAACGCTGATGGGGTATATAGGTGACCTACTTGGGACGTCAGTAGGGTAATTTATGAAATCCTTTGAATTATGCACTGCCATTAAAATGTTATATACATTTCATTTATTCAGATTATACTTAATTATGCATTTTTCAAAGTGAAACTATTAATGTATTTCTGTTAATTGATCTCTTTTTTGAAAATATTGATATCTTTCAACCATGATTATTTTTAGGATTATGATGATCACTTACTGAGTAGCCAAACTCATCAAATTATGGTAAACATTTTGTTTTTCTAGGATAACTG